ATTTATCTACAGAATAAACAAAACAAAATAAACAAAACAATATTAAGTAATTTAAAACTATAATTAAATTAAGAAAATACCCGTGTTTTCAAATATAGGAAAACATGTTTTGTGTTGAAATCCAATATAATTATTAAAATTTGAACTAGTATAGATATTTTTAGTAATTCAAATTTTGTTCTATTTATTTTTTTGCTTTATGTTCAATTATCTTCAACTAACACAAAGGGTTATTGACCATAGGTATTTCTGTCCGGGGAATATATTGTAGAAAAAAACATGGGAAAAAAATAAACCAAAATTATAACGGAATCCTTCAAATTGATAAAATGTGTTCACAAAGAGTAACCTCAATGACCTCAATGCACTCATACAGTAGCTCGTTGGTAGGATTATGTATTGGATTGTCCGGGTGTCTAAGCTTGGTGATTGTTCTGATGGCCACTCTTTTTCAAATAATTAATAGCATTTTATTCTATACGTAACACTTTTTTAAATTTGCTTTCTTACTTTTTACTTTTCGTTCATTTCAAAACATTTTTTTTTACAAAAGTAAATTAATTTAGGTCAATGTATAATAACAATTATGAACAAAACAGCTTAACAGATTTTCTAATATGATCTATATAAAAACAAACAAAATTTGAGTGGAACCTCTTTTGTGCGGTCCTTTTTTTATGCGGTAAATGAATTTCAACCAATTTCTATGGCGTTGGCACCATTGTAATGTTTTCTATCAGTGTACATATGTACAGCCTGCTCAAACGATTCTGTTAGTCGATTTTCAACCAATTCATCACAAGAAGATGCGCGTTTAGGAGTAACACGAATAGCTATGAATTATGTATGTGCATTTTGAACATTTCTCCATATGTACAATGAGAAATTAAATGCACTTTCTCGTGTATTTCGTAAATCGTAAATGCGATTTTTTTTTATCCCTATCCACCGCATAAAAAAGTTTCTGTAATACAAAGTTATTTGTTATATGTATGAATTTATAAAAATTTCGAATATTTTTTTTGTGCGATTTATTTTATACGGTCCCTCTCTACCGCACAAAAATAGGTTTTACTATATAAAGAAAAAGTCGATTTTATAAAATACTTAACAACAAAAGAAAATGTCCATTAGATTTATTGTTAAATTGAATATTAAATTCATGATGATTTTCTTATATGGTATAATAAATAAAGTTATAAACATTGTTTGAGATGACAATAATATTTACTGGATTTTCTATTCATATTATAACAAATATATTTATAAATAAAACAATATAAAAGAAACAATTATATTCTTAATTAATTAAAATTATTGTCTTTCTTCTTGGAGTTGTGATAATGATACAAAGAATTATCGCTCCTTCGACCGTCGAATGCATTTCATCAGGTTCCAATTTATGCACTCGAGCAGTCGTCCAAACATTTTTTTCCCTTCCTCTTCGACATCAGAGTGTGTATTCCGGGGTAGGCAATTAACAGATTGCTCGGTTGAAGTGCATGAGACCAATTAATGGAAGCAATTAAGGCGCACATTGCGCGCATCAATTGATTAATTTGCATCCTTCTGGCTCCCTGGCAAATTGACGTACGCGCCAATTAATCTGACAGCCGTCAAATTCAATAGAGTTTCGTCCGCATAGTGGCCGGAGAACGAGAGTCCTTTGAGGACGAAAGAAAACGGAAGAAAGAAATCGAAGTAAATCCCGAGTGAGAAATGGGCTACTCCTTCATACTGCCGAGCTTCGGAGTGCTGGAGGCGCTTCCTGATTACATGCGCTTCGCGCTCGCCTTCCTCCTTATAGCGAGTCTCCTCCTGAGGACCAACTGCTTCAGAAAGAGCCGCCAGGACGAACTCCTACGCCGCAGCATGCAGTGCGCCTACGGCGACAAGGATGAAGGGCAATGATCCAATGCAAAAAGAAGAAGGAGAGTCGAGTCCCGTTGTTGTTTGTTTGTTGTTGTAATCGATTGTGGTGTCACGGAACGAAATAAATTTGTTGTTGATTGAAATTGCGTGTGTCTTTGTGGTTGGGACACGCGATGGTCGTTCCTTTGGCATTGTTTCCAGAGAGTGGTGCTTCCTTTCTTGAGGCCTCTAGAACGGTTATACGTGCGTACCTCATGCTAATTAAGGCCTTTCGGGCGATGCCGCACGTATTCGCAACGATCCGCGTATGGTCCTCGACGAGTAATTAAAATCGGTAAAATTGAAGTCGTAACGAGAGGTGAGATGGACATGACCGTCGTGGTTCGAGGTCTTCATGATACTCTTGTCAGCGGAGTATCGATTCCGGTGTGGATTACCGCAATTGCGGTTTCGCTGTCGGCTACCAAAAGCGCGCATTGCAACATTTGCAAGGAATCTAACCTCTGACCCGGCAGACGGACGGGAATTCTCCGCAATTGTTAATGTTCTTAATGCATTCGACGCATTCCAACTAAATACCATCGATGTTAATTCGTTTGATCTGAGTATAGTTTTGTAAAAAACCAAAAATGACATAAGGCTTACTAGAACACATGTTTTATACAAAATACACAACCCACGATCATGTCTTCCCATCTTACTTTAAAATAATACTGAAAACTTGTAACTTAGTCTATAATACCAACAAATATATACACAATGTGTAAACATGGATAAACTAATGACTTTCATTATGGTCACCAAAGCCAGCTCAAAAAATTGAAAATCAAATATAATCTAGTCTTAATATAGTCTTATAATTTAACATATTTGTTTGAAGTTGTACTGCAACCTAATTATTTGTAAAATAAAATTTAATGAAAAACTGCAAAGAACAGCTGTTATTTTGAGCCTCATAGGTTGACACACGCACAAATACAATCAACATTGCAGGAAATACAATGAAAGTACTGGTCTTGTGTGATTTATGAATAATTTCAGAGGTTTTAGTAGGTAACAATCCCACAGTATGAGGACTTCACCCGTCCCTATGCAAAGTTTTACAAAAAAAAAAGTTTGTATCATAGGGTTATGTTTTAGCAACAACTTTTTGTGTAATGACACTTTTAACGTTGGTACCATTTCTCATATGTCCCAAGAAAAAAACAACAAATTGAATATCCTTTAGCATCATACAATAAACTCTAATAAATATATTTGTAATTCGAATAATTGATTAATCTTCGAACAAACTAAATTATTAACATGTTTGCAACAGATTAAAAGTTCTCTCTGTACGCGAGTCGAACAAATTAACAACCTTTCCGCAAACTAAATAGTGTAGAATCATTGACCGGACTGCCGCTGATTATACAAAGAAGATATTAGTAGCTTTGCTGTTTGCGTTTCGAATAGTTCTGATTGTATAAATCAAAGGCCTTTCGTTACAATGCATCATGATTTAATGCATTACGTGAGTATTGGTTATTTTACATAACGTAACACACGTATGTACATAATTTAGTTTAACGTTGATTCATTTGTTCGAACCTATTCATTTATATTCGCATTAGACTCATTGCATTTTCATATTGTTCCCATTATGAATTAATAATTACTACTTTACTTTGTAGTTACCGAAATTTTATTTTGAATATTTATATTATAACTTATATAACGTTAGATGCAAACTTACATTTTTTTAATAATAATTTGAAACAATGCAAATAATATAAATATTTAATATATTTTTTTTTTTATCTACTTTTGCACATTTCATGTTGCAATATATTTATAGAGAAAATATTAATTATAGTCAAGGAATTTGAAAATATATTTACAGTTATACCGAATAATTGGAGCACTTGTTAATTATCACTTAGTAGTAATAACAAGATTTACTTATTACTTTTTAATTAATACATCTATAAACTTTCCTTTTTCTTCACTTCAGAATTCAACAAAGTGCTTCGTTTAAACAAAACAAAAATAAAATAATATAGGTCATGTTTCATGTCAAGTTTTACTTCTTTTATTTTTTATTCAACAAATTACTATAACTATAATAAAACAACAACTTTTGGTCAATATTTGACTTGATTCATCAACATAGTTCTTCTTCAAGAGTGATACATTCATTTCAACGCTTCTCAAACATTTCGATAGCTTTCTTGTAGAACGATTTATCTTTGCCCTCAAAATACGTTTCAGTTTCGGCAATCACTTCTTCATTGGAGCAAAATCTCTTTACCTTGAACATTTTTTTTAGATCTGCAAATATGTAGTAGTTGCTGGGAGCCAGATCTGTAGAATAGAGTGGATGGGGAAGCAATTCAAAGTGCAATTCGTACATTTTTGCCATCGTTTTGATCGACTTGTGACACGGAACAAATGTTCGTGCAAAATGGTGAATACACTGCCTTCTGATATCTTTAGGGAGTTAGCTTTCCCATCAAAACACGAAATTCAGATTCATTGGTTTGAAAATTACAAAAGTAGCGTCACTAAAACCACTGTAACTTATGAACTAAACGTCAGATTACCATGCAATTTTGACAGGAGTCGTCTGAAGGTTGGTACTTCCTAAAACTCAAATATGAATTTGTCAATACACGCACCATCTATATGTCATCCTACGAACTTATTAAGCATAATGTCAAAGAAATAATAATACAATTTGCTTCCAGGTAAACTAGTTAAGATATTTGGTAATTCTGTCCGAAAAGTTGAGTGCAGCTCCCACTGAAAATTTAAATCCGTATTTAATATACAAAAAATATGAAATAAGTAAAATATAATTATTTTTGTATTGTTTCAATGGAGATTTTCATGTGTGTCTTTAACTGACTCAATTGTTAATAATATTTGATACAAGTTACTTTATTTTGTTTTATTAATAAGTTGACAATATATTATGTTATATAATTGTAGTACAAGTGGATATAAGTATTAAAAACATGTATTTTTGTTTCATTTTCAGTTGGATAATATCAACTTGTGCCTTGGCGTGCTGCAAGCTCAGCATGTCTCCGGCGTCGAAAGCGTGTCCGGACAGGACCTCCGGGATGGACGGCTGAAAGCCATCCTCGCCTTATTCTTCGCCCTATCCAGACATAAACAAGCGACGAAGCAAAGGGCCCAACAGCAACAAAACAACCAGCAGCAATCAGAGATGACTCCCAACAGGTATGCAACCAGACTATCCCGAGTTCAAACGCCGCGCCACCCCTAATCATTTCCATCGGGGAATCCCCCGGGGGCAGATAAATATTTTTGGAACAGCTTTCCGCGTCGCAAATTTATCGCCTGCCGCCTCCCCCTCACATACACCCGAAAAGTGACTGCTTTTATTACGTTCCGCACTCTCGCATGATTCGAAACACGTCGCGAATTTCTGAATTATGCTCTCCCCCACTACATTTTCCGCCTGCGACTTTTCGCACCGCGCATATTAATTCCAATTATGAAAATACAATGTTATGTACGACTGTTTGCGAAACAAAAATCCATATTTTCGAAGCGCTCGGGAATTGAAAAATACGACAACAACTTTTGTTTTTAAACCAAACACAAATTCACTGATCTAACTTTTTGTGTAGAATTATTATTTCCATTTTGTATAAGTAATAAACTTTTTCTTGTTCATGGTGCATTCACACTATTTACAATTTGAGTCATAAAACTGTCAGCTGTACCAAATTTCACTGTCATCGGATAACCAATAATAGTTGGTACATCTGACAAATATGTATGTCTCCCATAGTGTGGATACAACATAATATTTACAAATTAATTATAATCTGTTTAAATTTATTCAGAAATAATACAGTTTCATTTATCCATATAGTTCAGATATTAGAGCCATCAGCTTACTTTAAATCGCAACATTTATTAGTGGACAAAGTAAAAAATGTTGCGTCAACAGTACTTTTTTGTTATGTGATAAATATATGATTTCCAACTACTTTATAAGTTTGTATTGTATGATATATACACTAGTATACAATTTCATTATCTGCAAAATAACTACTTTATTGTTGGTACAACTGATAAATTTCCCATTTTTGTCATATTTCGTTTATGACGTACATGGTGACAGTAATGTCAAACATGAAGTAATTATTGACCAAGACAAAAATTACAAAACAATTACTATTATGAATTATATCATTTCATGGCTTATTGAATTCTTGTTAAAACTGTTTAGTACTTCAATATTATTTTCTTAACCTCTAAGCTTTATTTACTTTCCTTTCGACATTGGTGACCATGAATATGCGCTTCGTATTTCCTTGTATACGTCTTTACAACATTAACTCAATAGTAAAACGACAGTAGACTTTTAGAATAGGTAATCTTACTGTTATTATAGAATTTTCTTGTATTGGTATTATTTCCAAGAAGTTTTCCATACTTTAGCATCACATTATTTTGAATATTATACTTATTATTGAGTTTTCCTTGATTATTTATTTCTGACTATACTGAATGATACAAATTTTTCAATTAAATATTTAAACTGTAATAGTGATTTTAATACTGAAATAAATATGATTTTCTTAAGAAAAGTGCGATTTATAATGAATCATACACATTTTGAGATTTGTCACAATCTCAAAACGCGAAATGTTACCAAGACAAATGCGAAGCAGTCTGAAACAAAACGCTATCAAGTTTCATTGTTTTACTCATTAATTCAACTAGCGAATTGAAATGGCCAATTGAACGTTATAAATAGCCGAGCAAGCCAGTCCTGGTCGTTAACAAAGTGCATTAAAAACTACTTTCTTTGTTTTTATCTTGCCACTTTATGATCAAACTAAATTTACTTTAATTCTTGATATCCAGACGATCTCAAAAAGGAAAGGGGTTCTCCTTTCTCGATGAGCAGAAGAAAAGAACCGTTACATTGTATTGCAGCGCATCAATCATTTTCCTTTTTATCCGTGGTTCCTCGTCGCTCACAAAAAAAACAACATCTGTTTTCTTTTGTTTCTTATTGGAAATATTCAAATTAGAATGCAATACTTAATCGGTTCAGTCATAAATCATCAATCGAGTTTGGGGAGCGCTCCAATTTTTTTTATTATTCCTTTTTAGAAAAATGAGTTTTTCATTGATATGAATTACGCCCCCTTTTGCGTTCAATTAGGGAGATATTTCAAGGGTGAAATAACGGACGGGATAGAAAAGACGGGAAATTGCAGATATAAATTTTTCTTTATATTGAGGGAACATCTGGACCCGTGAAATATGGAGCGCATTGATTTAAGAACTCCAAGCGTCCGATTTCTCACGGTCCGGACACCGTTTGCAGTATTTCATCATAGGCAACCAAAGTCGCACGTCGCGTTACATGTACATAACTTAGTACAGATTTGAAAGTCGCACATAACGTTACATAACTTAGTGCAGATACCCCAGTCGCACGTCACGTTACATGCACATATCTTAGTACAGATTCCAAAGTCGCACATAACTTAATACAGATATCAAATTCGCAAGTCACATTACATGTACATAACTTAGTACAGATTCCAAAGTCGCACGTCACGTTACATTTACATAACGTAGTGCAGATTCCAAAGTTGCATGTCACATTACATAACTTAGTACAGATTCCAAAGTTGCATGTCACATTACATAACTTAGTACAGATTCCAAAGTTGCACGTCACATTACATTTACATAACGTAGTGAAAATTCCAAAGTTGCACATAACGTTACATAACTTAGTAGAGATTCCATAGTCGCACGTCACGTTACATGTACATAACTTAGTACAGATTCCAAATTCACACATAACGTTACATATACATAAATTTAAATTAAGTTTTGTTGCTTTTAATTGATTTTTAATCCATCTTTGTAATTAGCAACAAAGCAAAAGTTTTTTATGTTTAATATTTGATAATTAATTTTTATTAGAAACTTATTTGTAATATTTCGAATTCAAACGCGAAGTCTATTGTTTTCTTTAAGGTGTTTAAAAGACAAGGAAATTCATTTCATGTATTGTGATACAATCTAATATTTAAATAAAAAATACGACATAAATTAATACAAAATTTATTAATTAGTTCATATAAGACATAATTGGTGAAGATTGTTAATACTTTCAAATAACAAAATTTAATATAGACATAAAGTAGTAATAAGACAAAATAGAATTTTCGTTTCAGAATATACTCGAAAATACAAATAATCTATAATAAATACGATTTTTTAATCAAATTATCTTTGGTAAAGATAACTAATGTTGATATATGTTTTATATTATATGAATATAGAGGGCGCACTTGTTATCACATACATTTAGAAACGAAAATATAACGATTCTTAATAATTTTAACAAATAACACATTCACAAAAAATCAGTTATTTTTTGCTGGTTAAATATTTTTTGAGAATAGAATCATTCAGTAGTAAATGTTATATTCTTTATTTCTTTTAAGATCATTCAATTTACCTTGAAATGCTTATATGTGTTAAAAAAAAACCGCGGTATTTCCAAATACGCGTTATAAAAGACGCGTTACAACCAGCTTCTACTGCATATAAATATCATGTTAATATTTGGAGGTTTATACCAAATTCATCGTAGTTTTTATATGCACAAATATAGTTTATATTTTGTATATATTGTTATATATTTTGTAAACTACAATAATTCAACTCATATTAAAGAAATGAACATAACTAAATAACACAAGAAATTATAAAGCAAGTGTTATTAAGATTTTTGTTCGTGGTAGCTTTTATCAGCCGTAATACACTAAGCCTGTGTAATTAAGATAATCCTGAAAATCCTGAAGTTTACTTTTATGTAGGCAACACAAGCAACTCCAATTGATGTAATTAACGCGTTGTGCAGCAGGTGGCGCAATGTACGCCGATGCAAAGCTCGGTGATTCAATTTGGAATCGTTTGGAATTCAATTTATGACAACCGCATAGAAAATTATGCCAATTGTACAATAAAAGCACTATAAAGGGGATAAAGCGAGGCCGTTAATATTTATTCAGAATTGGCCTGGGGTGGAGCTGAGTGAATCTGAGCTAATAAATCAGAGATAGGAAATCGAATAGGCTTTAAAGTTCCAAAAGGGCTTAGATGATATTGCGGAAAGTTCCTCCAGGGACATGCGGTTATCACGATCCTCATCATCATTTTCTTCGGTTTCTGAATTAAATTGATGGAAGGCAATAATATCTCCGCTCATCTTTTCCCTAACGCACACATAAAAAAAAAACTTGGAAACCTTTCAAAGCCGGTTTTGCGATATGAACAATACGCTCTTGGAGCTCCCCCTTTCGAAGCTAATTAAAGTGCGAGAGGGTTGCAGCTAACGCACGTTTATCTCAATTATACCCGAAGCCTAATTGTACTTGCAACGTTGGGAATGGGTCTGAGTTTTGGACGAGGCTAGAAGGTTGATTGGTTCTTGTTGAGGGGACGATGAGGACAATGATTGTAACTTTGCACATTCTACGGAATTGGCAACAGTGAATGGTGTTATAACAAAGTTGAACGCAAACTAATTTCATTCTAACGCAGAGTAATGACGGAACTTCCGTCACGAAAGATATACACAATGAAGTTGCAATAAATATTTTGATGGTTTCCAAAAGTTTTAAAATAATTTGAATTGGCTTTGCAAAAGTTTGCGTATTTTGAAATTAGTATATGAATTCGGGCTATAACAGATTGTTTTGTTGTAGAATTCGGTTATAAAAGGTTCTGAAAATACGGTTGTCCGTAACAAATTTAGTACATCTGGCCACCCTAATTCTATTTTTATATACTAACTTTCAGTTTTTATTGACTTATTAGTAATACTCTATATGTTTCTAGTGGGTCTTAGTTTTATATAAAACAATTATTTTTGTTTTGCTTCCTTGGATACAATTACATAATCTCAAGTTTACTGTCAAATTGACAGTTTATAAATGTCAAATGTCAACATTACGTAATGATTACAAAGTAGTTTTTAAAGATACGTGTGGTATACACAACTCATGTTATAATAGTTTTCAAATGTTAAAATAAAAACAAATTGATGTGCTACAAAGGGCTATTGACCATAGGACGTTCTGCCCTTCAAATATTATACTTACCAAATAAGGAAACTTGTTCAAGTGACATAACTCTTATCCTAAATATTTTTTCTTTGTTCACATCTACTT